ACACCTGAACACCCAAAGCCTGAAGCTTGAAAGTCCATTTATCAAATCAATGAGTGCCGAGTGCTGATAGATCACCGAGTGTCGAGTACCAACACCCGAAACTCAACACCTGGTACACAAATCACCAAGTGCCGATCATGGCCCGAAGTCCGAAAATATGTATACAACATATCCATATTTCCCTCACTGCACCAATCACCGGGTGTCGAGTACCGAAACCTGAAACTTGACACCTGGTACACAAATTACCAAGTGCTGAGTGCCAAGGCCTGAGCCTCGATGTCCAAAGCCCGAAACCCGAAGCCTGGAACCCGAAAATATGTATATAACATATCAATATTTCACTCATCGCACAAATCACTGAGTGTCGAGTGCCAAAACCCAAAACTCAACCCCCCTACACAAATCACCAAGTGTTGAGTGCCAAGTGCCAAGGCCCAAAACCCGATGTCCAAAACCCAAAACCTAAATCCTGAAACTGAAAATATGTATATAACATATCAATATTTTACTCATTGCACAAATCACTGAGTGTCGAGTGCCAAAACCCGAAACTTGAGACCCGGTACACAAATCACCAAGTGCTGAGTGCTGAGTGCTGAGGCCCGACATCCAAAGCCTAACACCCGAAGCCTGAAACCCAAAGATATGTATACAACATATCCATATTTCCCTCACTGCACAAATCACCGAGTGTCGAGTACCAAAACCAGAAACTCAACACCCGGTACACGTGACTACAACTGGACATGAATTCTGTATTTGTATGTATTATCCATTGATGTAGGGTTCAAATAACTTGGGAATTGTATTGACTACCGAGTGTCGGGACTCGGGACTCGCTAGTCAATATAGGAAAATGATAATGAAAAAATGAAAATTATTATTATGCTTAACTTTCTTAATGAAGGTTGTAGTCCGAGTCTATGTGAGTGTATTGGTGGTCCTACCAAGTATTGGTACTCAGTGTAGTGATGGTTGCGGTGCTGGGCTCAGAACCACTGATTTTCATACTCATGTCATTCTTGTCAATTGGAGATTATTTGAAGACTACATTAAATGTTAGTCAGGGTCGAGTATGATAATGAATGTATAGTCATACCTCAGTCTGAGAACAAATAGACTGAGGTAGGATGATGCAGGTATGAGGATTATATATTTGTCTGGCATGTTAGCAATGATGTAAAGATGAGGTGTGCATTTGTACATGTGTGCAGTAAGTGAGCATACAGATAAAAGAATGAATATTAATAGTGAGACTTGCACATTATGTTGAGATATCCAACATGACAAGCCTGTGATGGGATCAGAGACCTGGAATAACACCCATATATGACCATTATAATAGCCCTAATAGTTTAGAAAGATACATGAAGGATTGATGTAATGACAGGCATATGTGTGAAATGTGACAATAGACATATTTTTACAAAGTTGCATTTATAGATGATTCAGGCCAAAGATTTCATTAAAAATATGTAGGATAGATTGTAAACTACCTAAGGAACCCATACTGCCTACTGCCTTGAGGGTAGGGGGTGGGTGGAAGGGATATAGTGAAAACATGAGTTGACTCAGCATTAAAGTCCTATTATTGCTTCACTGACCATTTTCGATGCTTTGAGTCTTTGAAGTTTCCCACACTCCATTTCTTATCTATTTCACTTCCTCAGTACTCAATTCTTGGCAGATTTGTCTGTAAATTTATGTCTATGATACTTAATATATTTTAAATGTACTCCAGGTTTCTGATCATGAAGATTCAATGTTTTGAAGGTATGGGCCCCTTATCAGGAGAAATGGCAAGTATGCACACTAGCTCACAAACTCCAGCCTATTGTGAGCTGATCTTGGTCATAAGAGGCAATAATATAAGCTATGCTCATTATATATTAAAAGGTTGGATCATGGATGCAAGGGCAAGATACTGAAAATCGTGAAAAATGTCAAAAGTGCAATGGTCTATGCTTACATGTAATAACACTGTCTGTAATATTCAATAATGCGAAAACAAGTAAATATGCACCAGTGGGGATAGATACGACTAGACAGGACATAGGAAGGATGAGTCCGATGCAAAAATGTTGGGTCCGAAACTTTCAGGCTGGGGTCAGGGGTCGGGATCAGGATCAGAATGTCAGGGATGCGTCGGATAAATACTGTTTAATGTGAGTATCAAAAACACGGGTTTTGAGCCCAGTGCGGCGACTATCATTACACCAGGTATCGAGTATCAGAACCAAGTACTGAGTACCGAGTAATGAAATAACCAATTGACAAGAAAAGACTACCAATACACTCACCTTGACTTGGACTACAACTTTCATTTTTCATTCTCGCCAATGTTTCAGATTTCTTTAGCTTATATCTTGGTCAAATGATAACCGATGGACAAGAAAAGACTACCAATACACTCACCTAGACTCGGACAACAACTTCCATTTTTTCATTATTTTTGCATATTGCACACCGGGTTTTGAGTTTCGGGTTTTGGTACTCAACACTTGGTGATTTGTGCAATGAGTAAAAAATGGAAACATTGCATACATGTTTTCGGGTTTCGGGCTTCGGAATTTGGGCTTCAGATGTCGGGTTTTGGGCCTTGGCACTTGGCACTCTGCACTTGGTGATTTGTGTACCGGGTCTCAAGTTTCGTGTTTTGGTACTCGACACTCAGTGAGCTGTGCAATCAGGGAAAAATGGATATGTTGCATACATATTATCAGGTTTCAGGGTTCGGGTTTTGGGCTTCGGACATCAGGTTTTGGGCCTTGGACATCGGAGCTCAGGCCTCAGCACTCAGCACTTGGTGATTTGTGTACCGGGTGTTGAGTTTTGGGTTTCAGTACTTGACACTCCATGATTTGTGCAATGAGGGAAATATGGATATGTTGTATGCATATTTTCAGGTTTCAGGCTTTGGGTTTCGGGCTTTGGATGTTGGGTTTCAGGCATCGGCATTCGGCACTCAGCACTTGGTGAGTTGTGTACCATATCTCAAGTTTCAGGTTTTGGCACTCGACACTCGGTGATTTGTGCAATGAGTGAAATATGGATATGTTGTATACTTTTTGGGTTTCAGGCTTCGGGTTTCGGGCTTCTGACATCAGGCTTCGGGCCTCGGCACTCGGCACTCGGCACTTGGTGATGGGTGTACTGGGTGTCAAGTTTCAGGTTTCGGTACTTGACACTCGGTGATTTGTGCAATGAGTGAAATATGGATATGTTGTATACATATTTTCGGGTTTCAGGCTTTGGGTTTTGGGTTTTGGGCTTCGGACATTGGGCTTTGGGCCTCGGCACTCAGCACTTGGTGATTTGTGTACCGGGTGTCGAGTTTCGGGTTTCGGTACTTGACACTTGGTGATTTGTGCAATGAGTGAAATATGGATATGTTGTATACATATTTTCGGGTTTCAGGCTTTGGGTTTTGGGTTTTGGGCTTCGGACATTGGGCTTTGGGCCTCGGCACTCAGCACTTGGTGATTTGTGTACCGGGTGTCGAGTTTCGGGTTTCGGTACTTGACACTTGGTGATTTGTGCAATGAGTGAAATATGGATATGTTGTATACATATTTTCGGGTTTCAGGCTTTGGGTTTTGGGTTTTGGGCTTCGGACATCGGGCTTTGGGCCTCGGCACTCAGCACTTGGTGATTTGTGTACCGGGTGTCGAGTTTCGGGTTTCGGTACTTGACACTTGGTGATTGGTGCAGTGAGGGAAATATGGACATGTTGTATACATATTTTTGGGTTTCAGGCTTCAGGGTTTGGGCTTCGGACATCGGGCTTTGGGCCTCAGCACTTGGCACTTGGCACTTGGTGATTTGTGTACCAGGTGTCAAGTTTCGGGTGTTGGTACTCGACACTCGGTGATTGGTGCAGTGAGGGAAATATGGATATATTGTATACATATTTTTGGGTTTCGGGCTTCAGACATTGGGCCTCGGGCTTCGGGCCTCAGCACTCGGCATTTGATGATTTGTTAATGTAAATGAAAAATGGGCATGTTGCATACCAGGGTTTCGAGTTTTGTGTTTTGGCACTCGACACTCGGTGATTTGTGCAATGACTGAAAAATGGATATGTTATATACATGTTTTCAGGTTTCTGGGCCTTGGACTTTGGGGTCCGGCCCTCAGCACTCGGTACTTGGTGATTTGTGTACTGGGTCTTGAGTTTTGGGTTTTGTCACTTGACACTCAGTGATTTGTGCAATGAATGAAAAATGGACATTTTGCATACATGTTTTTGGGTTCCGGGCTTCAGATTTTGGGTCTCAGGCTTCGGGTCTATCAGCACTCGGCACTCGGTGATTTGATAAATGGACTTTCAAGCTTCAGGCTTTGGGTGTTCAGGTGTTCATGTGTTTGGTGTAAGGAAATAGAAATTTCACACATTTTCACAAGTTTCCAGTTTCCAGTCTCAAGCTTGGGGTGTTTGGGTGTCCGGAATGGATGTTGCACAATGGGATTCAGTTTTTGGGCATCTGGGACTTGGTAATCCGTGAATGTCAGACAGATATCTCACTACCTCGGCCCACCCGTCTATATAACATCCCCCTCCATCGGCCCACCACTCTATATAATGAATATTCCACCACTCCCTTGGCCCATCTGTCTACAAAATAATTCCAGTATGTCGGCCCACCCGTCTATATAATACATATTCCACCACTCCCTCGGCCCACCTGTGTACAAAATAATTCCTGTATGTAAGCCCACCCATCTATACAATAAACCATTACATCGGCCCACCCGACATCTTCGAGGATATATATAATATCAGCATAGATGGGCCCACTCGTCTTCATCGGAAATAATATCCCTCCCGGCCCATCCATCAACATCGGGGATATACATAACATCGACCCATAGTCTGCTGGTCCGTCTTATACAGGATATTATGTATGTCGGGTGACCCGTATAATACAGAATTTGTCACTGAAGGGGCTCACCTTAGAACTAACTTTAGACTTGGACCTGCTTGAGCCACTAGTCTGTCAGTTGATGCCCAAGGGTGCATTTGCAGTGGGCCTGCCACTGGAGGTTTTCTGTTGAAGTCAGAACCTTGTAATTAGCATTAAAAAACATACGCACCCTGTGAAAAGGCTTCACATTCATGGGGTGACACAGGAGTTCTTCATCATCTGAACCTTCCGGGGTCGTGTAAACCTGCAAAGAATTAAGTCTTAATGAAGCATTAAAAAATCTTTGCATGAACTGACCCTGGTCTTAGACTTGTTTGATCTATTAGTCGTCTCTTGGTCAATGTGAGTGAAGGTATTCTATTGAATTTGATTAGCACTGGCCAACCTTGAATAACATACAAACCTTGTTGGAAGGCTTCATTTTTGTGGGGCAATGCATGATTTCTTCATCATCCGAGTCTTCCAAGGTTGCATTGACCTGCAAGAAATGAACTCTTAACATATCATGAAAAGAACCATGGGAAGGCTTCAGTGTCACGGGGTGATGCATGATGTCTTCATTATCTGAGCCTTCTGATGTTGAGTTGACCTGCAAGAAATTCATTCTGAGTGCAGTAGAAAAAAAAAGTTTGCATACTGTCTCCTGTTCACCCTCCTCTCCAGTGTTCCTATCAGCCTTTGACTGTGCCTTGAATTCATATTTGGTCTTTGCATTGATGCTTGGATTGGCCTCGCATTCAATGTCGACCGCAGGTGCTCTATCCACCTCATTCTCTGAGTCGGGAACTAGTAGATCGTCATCTAATGCATTTCCCTCTTGTTCCTCACCTATAGCTGCAGGCATCCTATTGATAGGTGAGACACTCTGAGTGTACATAAGATCCAGGGTATGTTAATTTGTTGAAGTAAAGGAAATGAAAAAGATACCTTCGATACAGACACTATGGGCAGAGTCAAAATGTTGTTGTCCCCATCCGTAATGATAGGTGTTGGGAATTGTGCACGTGGGCCTGCCTGACATTCCTTGTCATCTTCTTGCTCATCTTCAAAACCACCAGACTTAACAGTATTATGAAGGGGGTGTTTCATGGAGTCTGTGGAACACAAGGTCAGTGATTTAATAGAAGAAGAAGAACTTGAAGAACATACCAGTCATGCCTCCAGCAGTTGCAGGGGCACTGTTCGGAGGGCGTGTTATGATATTTCAGGAGGCGATATTATGCCACCCTTCACAGAGACCACTTCGAGAGGGCTGTGAAGAGAAAAGGTTGGAATCCTCTTTGAATCTTTTGGCTGACGGCCTGCATTTTGAAGGAAAGGATTTTCGTACAAGATACATAATGTTGAGTAATGTTGAACATCAATTGGGTGATCAGGTTGAGTCAGCAGATCATTGGGCGTCAATTAAGGACTTACCCTTCATCATCACTACAGGTGTGTTGCTTGCTGTGACTCCGTTTCCCTCCCCCTAAACTGTCCTTCACATTCTCAATATCTCTGTGCAACTTCTGTCCCTTACTGATCTTTACCAGCAGTGAGTCATTATCATGTTCATTCTGACTGACATCAACATGAGCTATAATAAATGCTTCATCAGTGTCCTGTGATTGAATAATCTGCAAGTTACCCAGTTGTGCTTGACTTGCCGACTGAGACCCACTGTGGACACTTAGTTGAACTTATTTCAGATATAGTCGAGTCAGTGCCTGTCACCAATTCATCATATGGTTGAATCCATGACATACCTGAATTTGGTGGAATTGCTGACCAAATTCCAGTACTTGGCTTCCGGGATACTTTGTTAAGAGTGGGACTGGGTTGTCGCACTGCAAGCCTTTCTTTTTCTACATCCTCCATCTCCATGCTGATCTCGAGCTGAGCAACTGTTCCTGCAGCATGGACCTTCTGTTCCTTTGTGGATTTTTGGCCTCCTGGTTTCTTCACAGCACCAGCCTTCACCCTGCCAGTCAGAGCATCGTCGCCATTGGCTAGCAACTCGGCATTGACAGCCTTTTGGTGTTTGGGTGGTAGGTCCGGTAATCCAGGTCGCTTGTTCCGACTTTGCGTGTGAGTCTCCACCATTGCTGGATGTTGTTGATGTACTTAAGATAGAGCAACAAGTGAGTCAAGTACTAGTTGCACAAATAACAGTTACTTACCCAATTTTTTTTTGCAAAGTTCATGGAGGGATCACCCATTGTTTGTCACATTTCACACATTCACACCAAAGTGAGGCCACACTACTAGTAGTAGTATACAACACCTACTACTATTCACAATTACTAGTATCAATACTATTACTACACATGAAGACTTACACCATGTCATCGCCTGCATTCTACCCCTGAAAATATTTCTGTACTGATGCTAAAGTTACAGCTTGCCATCATGGCTTTAAGACCTTGGGTGGATACCGACAACACCAAAATGCACTACACATTGAGCCTCCCCAGCCTACTTGTTCACACCAGTGTACTTTTTCAGAATGCGAGTCTGATGCTGTGATGGAGGCTGGACATAGTAATGATAATAATACATACAGAGGATCCTACTATTTTCAGCATCCCATTATCAATGGCTCACCATGTGATGCCATTAGTAATTATTTACTATCTGATGATGATCCTCCCATCCTTGACCCGCCTGCCAAGGATAATCCATGGGCTCCCTTCCAGTCATGTGGTCACTTCCAGCTTGCAGACTTCATCTTCCAACGAAATCAGATGCCTGGCAAACAAATTGACAAACTCATGCAGATTCTAGCCTCTTTCGAGGAATGTAATGGCAAGCCTCCATTTTGTAGTGACACCCACATTTATGATACTATTGATTTCATCTTTTCGGGTGATATATCATGGCAATCACTCTCACTGAAGAATGACTTCTATCCACTCTATGTCTCTGCCAGGAACCTCCACAATAATGTTTGTTGTGTACACAAGGAGTCCGTGAGCCTTGTGGGGTTCCTTTCGATCCCTAAGAGTACGTATACTAGTACCAGACTGCTAATGAAGCTGATAATCATAATAGCTGAGCGACATCATGAAAATAGTGTGGAATTCCGGAATTTCTGACAACACATATTTCATGCCTCGTTACAAGCCATTTTAGAGACTTTCCATCATGTGATGGAGAAACCAGAAGTTGTAAAGTGTGTGGATGGTCACTTTAGACGTGCTGTGCATGGTCTTGCTCTATATATTGCTGATTATCCTGAGCAGTGCTTGCTTGCCTGCATAATTCAGAGGTGGTGTGCATGGTAAGCTCTTCTTGAACCTCAAATTTCATTGACTTATGGTTTAGATGTACTGCTGATTGGCAGGATTTAGATCGCTTGGGCTCTGGCCAGCGATCACACCAACATACAAAAGCTCTAATGCGTGGTTATTCAGCAAGCAAGCTCAAGGATGGCTGGGGTATTATTAGTGGCATACTGGTGAGTACACATCAACTTCTTGCAGTCCTTGGGTGTTAAAAGTATGTAGCCATTCACAGCATACTTTCCACATGCAGACATCCATGATCTTCTTGCTCCGGATATTCTGCATCAAATCCTTAAAGGGACCTTTAAAGACCATATTGTGGATTGGATTGGTCAATATCTTGTCATTATTTATGAAGAAGCAGGGGCAGAACAAATATGGGCAGATATTGATTGCTGGTACTAGTAAATATATTGCAGTTAAGATCATTATACTAATGTCCTTGATTCTAGCATTGCTGCAGTACCTGCATGTCCAGGCCTGCATCGTTTTCCTCAAGGTCGAAAATTCAAACAATGGACCAGTGACGACTCAAAAGCTTTGATGAAGGTAAGAAGTCGTCTATTAATATCACTTAACAATATTTAAATGAAGTTATAGGTATTTCTGCCAGCTATTGTGGGACACGTTCCTGACAAGATACTTAGCACTTTGGTCACCCCATTTCAGATACCTCTTAGGTTATATTATGCCTATAAGGGTTTTTACCTAGGGGGTGCTTTTTGGATGGTCTGGCCAATGTCTGCTGGTCTTTTTCCAAGTACATAGGGTCCAAAATAAAATATGTTGAGCATGGTCCATTGATTAAAATAATTTTGTGTGGGAAAGACCACCAGCTGACATTGGACCATACATACATGGTATTTTCCCATGGTGGAGGGGTGTTAGGGGTCCTCTTACCACCCAGTTTTCTGCACCAAAAAATGAAACTTTTGGGTGCATTCTTAGCACCTAATATGCAAGCCAATGGGTCACATAATGACTATAATGACTATTAGATATGTCTATGAAAATAGGATTAGAAAACACAAAATGATCATTCATTTATGGCCCCCCCTCAGCCTAGGATCTCCCCCTTCTGAAAATGATCATTTATTCACCCCCCCCCCCCTCAGCCCAGGATCTCTCCCTTCTGAAAATGATCATTCATTCACATACATCCCTTTAGCCCAGGATCTCTCCCCTCTGAAAATGATCACACATTTACCTCACACTGATATGTCTATAAAATTACCTACACCTACAGAATCATTACTTTGGAATTGCACTATTCAGATATTGATCTACTAGTGCTTGGTCTCAGCTACTTTCCTACACCTACAGAATCATCACTTGGGGATTGCACTATTCAGATATTGATCTACTAGTGCTTGGTCTCAGCTACTCCCCTACACCTACATAATCATCACTTGGGGATCATACTATTCAGATATTGATCCACCAATGCCTGGTCTCAGCTACTCACCTATGCCTACAGAATCATCACTTGGGAATCGTACTATTCAGATATCAACTGTTAAGCCACCTGGTCTGTGCATCTCCCCTTGCATCAACTTGCATCTCACTTTATCATCCTTGCAATTTCCAACAATGCCTGGTTTCAGCTACTTGCCTACATCCACAGAGTCATCAATTGAGGATCACACTATTCAGATATCAATATTCAAACCAATGATGCTGTTTCCATCTCCTGTCTCCTGTCCAAATCCCACAGAATGGAATATGATGAAGACATATAGATTTCAGATTGGGATTGACATAGACAAAGGATTTGGAAGAAGCATTGTGGTGGATAGGCATGGTTGCTATATACAAGAATTTTGGAAGGAGAATGGCAAAGGCCTGTAATAAATCTTGGGAAGGACCACGGAGGATGGGAAAGTCCATAATCAATCTTGAGAAGGACCACAGTGGATGGACAGCCTCATAATCAATTATGGGAAGGACCATGGTGGATGGGAAAGTCCCATAATCAATTATAGAAAGGACCACGGAGGATGGGACAGCCCCATAACCAATTATGGGAAGGACCATGAAGGATGGGACAGTCCTGTAATCAATCTTGGGAAGGACCACAGAGGATTGGAAAGCCCCATAATTAATCATGGGAAGGACTAGGGAGGATAGGACAGTCCCATAATCAATCTTGGGAAGGACCACAGGGGATGGGACAGCCCCGTAATCAATTATGAGAAGGACCATGGTGGATGGGACAGTCCCATAATCAATTATGGGAAGGACCATGGTGGATGGGATAGCCCCATTATGCTGGCTTGTTCCTATATTCATGCTTAACACCAATTTTCCTTGTGTGCTATGATTCACAGTATTAAATTTTTAAATCAATGATAAAAATAAATGATTAATTGTGACATATGTAGTGACAAATATTAAATGTAAATGGTAATAGGGGATACTATATGCAGCGCCGTTTCTTAAGTGTTGATTTGGTAGGTAACGAAGGCATAAAACTATCCTCAATATCATCAATAAAGTTGTCATCCTGATACCTGTACTCATCAGCTAAAGCAACCTCTTCAATTGCATCCATAAGTTCATCATCTCCAACCTCAGAATATGCCAGATCACCATCCTCGTCACTCTTATCCACCACTCCAACACTCTTGTCATCATCGTCATCCTGGAAAAATGATGACTGCACCTGGTCTCAAGCGGCTCGAAGTAAATCCTCATTTGTAGGACCCCAACTCTCGACTGGCCAAGCACAAGGGATCTCTCAAGCCTTTTTCTTCCAGATGACACAGATGCACAGAAGTTCCTCTGCACGGGCCCTGAGGTGGAACAACATCACAAGATCATTGGCTGCCAACAAATTAAATGTTAGTCATGGTATACTCTGACTACACACACCAGCATCTCTCAACGCGGTTTGGACGGCCTCCCACTCTGCTAACATCCATTCCTGCATCACGGACCGCTCTTGCATCAAATGAGTCTCTTCCTCAATGCAACAATCCAATTCAAGCTGTAAATGAATACCAGACCTGGTGGCCTCATCCGATAATCATGCCGGCGGGTGCATGCTGTCGTCGTCGAGGCCAATATCTTGCCAGTTTTCATCGTCCACATCAAGTAGGAAGATGCCTTCAAGAGCAATAGGATGAGGGGGAATAGCAGAAGGGGGAGCTTGCCGTTGACGTATGAGGGGCTGTAGTTGAGTACATAGGCCATTGTAAGTTGAAACCAGTTTGAGAATTGCAGGTTCTCACTGTTTGATAGAATACTGGGTGTTTGAGCGAAGCTTGTGTTCTGTTAACAATACATGAGACATGCTAAAAAATTAAGGCAAAATAGCAGTAACGTATCATTTACTGTTGCTCGATATGACCTCTCTAGCCTCTCCAATTCAAATTTGCGTTGATGGAGATGGTCCCGAATACGAGTTTTTACTGCATGAGCATTCAAGCAGATTGTAAGGTAGATGTTGTTCTTCATTGTCATAAGATCGGCCTGTCCTTGCGGTCCAAGAGTAGCTTTACAATGTCGGAGGATATCTGCAATTTTGGCACATCATGACCAAGTGTCGGTGAGCTGCAGATTGAACTCCATAACATTAGCAACAGCACCTACATAAAGCTGCATCTCTAGCTCACGGACAGAAGTCTTGTGAGTGTCCAGGGTCTTCTCCAGTGCAAGAATAGTGGTAATAACCTCCGCCACCTTGTTCTTGGATTGCCCTATACAATATAATCAGTCATACAGCGAGAACACTACTAGAACTCTTACGTGGGATGGGTCATGTCTGGTGAGCAATTTGCGCCATCCATTCAGCACGAAGGATATCCTCATTGACATCTAAGTCCAGTAAACCGTCCAGAGTTGTGTTCTTCTTTGTCTGACGATGTAGCCATCGCCAATGGAGCCAATGCCCATAGCCTTGGATGGATTTTGTGTCCAGGTGGCGAATTTGAGCATTGAGGACGAAGAGACATTGATGGAACTACGGTACAATTAGAGATATGATATACACATGAATATAGACTTACTTACCCCAGAAACGTGTAACGATGGGATGAGTTGCTTGAGAGAACTCCACAATCATTTGCATCCCTCACCATCAGACAATCCAAAACCCTCGCACTTCCTCGGGTGGTAGATGATCTGACAGGGCCATTAATGGCCATAGGCATGGAATACCACGACAGTGAAATATATGTGTGATAGGGTATTGCTGTCGAGAAGATTCCATTTTTGGCAGCTTCGTTCGAGTTGACATCCAATGTCATAGAGAAGTCCTATGGTCATCTGAGGGGGTATATGCTTGAACAGCTGGTCCAGGAGGGTGAGCGTGTAGTGTTGCTTTTATCCTGCTGATGTGAGGTTGACAAGCCATATAGGACACGGTCATGTCTGCACAGTAGGCCATCAGGCCTGTGTCAGTAAAAAAACAAGTACTTGCCTTTTCACGCTTTTTGTCTGCAGCAATGAAGGATTCACCGCATCCATTCAACACAGACACTGGCACATGCATCCCTTCTTTATAGCAATCCTCCTCCTCTTCCATTCTGGAGGCTTGTGTTTGACATCTTTCCCCATGACAACTTTTTACAAAATTCTCCATCACTTTGACATCGTTGTTCGACAGAAAGAATGTTGGAGTCGGATTAGAAGGGTCGATACTGCTAGCACCACGAGGATTAGTCAAACACTTTTGAGTAAAGCAGGCATCAATGCAAACAATAACATCTGGGCTGGTATTGTCAATTAAAAGCGGAATAATATGACATAAACTTACATAGAACGAGCATCTGCTCCATGGCAAGCATTTCCTCCGAAACAAAGCAGGCAACGACAATGAAGGTATTCAGATGGCTGATCGATGAGTGGGATACATGCCTGACCCCTCCACATGTTGGCGATGACAGTAGAAATGTGATTGCGAGCCAAGATGATCAGCACTTGGTACCAGTGAAAAGTATTGTTGAAACAATGACGCAAGTTATTCTGATGAAAGACTGAGCATCATTGTATGTGAGAGGATTGGAAAGGCTAACCTTGCATGACAACTTGTACCCCATTCCATCTAGAAAGGTTTCCACTGCATCGCACCACGTGGTTTGGTTGGGAGCCTTGCGTACAAAGAGAAGATGGATGAACTCTAAAACACGCAAGTCAACCGCCAGTGAGGGAGCAAGAGGAGCGTATGGAAACAGACCATAACGAAGGAGTTGGAGGGGTATAGGGAAACAAGGGCATGTGATGATGTTAATTTCTTTCAATGCTGGAGGGTACATGAGATAGATTGTGGAGAAGAGTGACAAATAACATACCGTCAAAGTGCACACATGCAACTGTAATACTCCGAGTCCTACATCCAGCTTGGCAAACTCCAAGATCTTGCTGAGCTTGTCCTGGTGCGTTGGTATAATGTAACACCAAAGTTTGTTGGATATAGGATAGATATGGTACAAGGAGCAATGGAATGATGTCTTGTGACCATCTGCACCACTGGTTGGCCCTCTTTTGTGAGGTGGTCAGATGACGGCCAATAGGATTGTTGGAGAAATGTAGGGAGTCACTGAAGAGAACTTCATCAGTAATATCTTCTTGTGTTACCGATGTCCTGGAGGCAGACAATGGACAGCAGAAGTTTTGCTGCATGAGGCATTGGTGTCCGGGCAAGACCAACAAGGGAGGCGGGGCAGGGAGATATAGGTTGAGTTTTCTAGTCTGATGAGGATGTCACCATGCTGTGCTCATCCAAGGCTCACAGACAATAGTGACAGGTGGCAGAATTGAAGGGCATTCTTCCTGCGCATGGGAGATCACCTGGAGGTTGATGGTTCACAATGGCGGGGCTTTGGATGACGAACAGCCATAATGAATGCTGTCGACTCGCAGTCAAATGGAAGGCCACCAACGATGCAGAGTCAGTTGGAGAAGTATCCATGGGTGTGCAGTCCTGGACAACCTCAATCGAGAGAGCCAATGACCAATACTTGGTCGAGAGAGCTAATGACCAATACTTGGTCGAGAGAGCCAATGACCAATACTGGGTCAAAAGGGCCAATGACCTGCAAAGGAGAACAAATCTGAGGATATGATTCACTGGCAGACTCCAGGAGTGAATTAGGGTAACAATGATGTCAAATTAATGGAAAAAAAAAATTACTCAATAACGTATCCGCATAGGTCTCTTGCCATAAGTATCGTACTGTAGATATTAGTGAAAATGGAAGCAGAGAAACATACACATCTAATCCCATTTAGCGTGAGCGAATAGATAATAGCTATGGCAAAAATCAATAGAAAATACAGTAGCAGGACGCCATGGGTTGCTAGCTATGACTTGGGAGTAGGATGCCCACAAAAACACATCAAATCAGAGTTAACAGCATGAGGCACTCACCTTGTGCCTAAATTGGGACTAGGGGACACTGCAATGTATGCTGAGCCTACTAATACAAAGCATAACCTTATCTGACAGCACGTTACGAAGATCAACAAGTAATGGAACATGGTACAATTTGTCATTTATACTAGGCATAAAAAATAAATGCTTAGTACAAAAATGCTGTAATATGGTATCAATCACAAAGGGATGGAATGGGGAACAATGGGGGGCCTGCCAAAATGACAAAAGAATGTCTGCACATAAAAGACGGTCGCAGGTGCATGACTTCCCAACACTTGGTATCCGTGAAGCTATCTGGCGTCAGTGGCACAACCAGGAGCAGCGGAGCGTCATCCCAAGCACAGAGAAGTTCACGGAATTTCTGCAGGTAAGGTAAAACACCAACTAAGGTGTTATTCCACATGCCATAGTTGTCCTCCAGAAATTGCTCTGACCACATGACTAATCCAGCCTTGCTGGGGAAGATAGAATGAAGGAGCTGCTCACGACCAATCAGATCATCTTCCCAATGTTTGCAGGTCAAGTAGCAATCGAGATCCCTCAGCTCATAATGGAAACCAAGCTCGAATAACTCCCATGTGATCCTTTGGGTGAGACGCCGTGGAGGGTTAGCGAGACTGGCAACCAACACTTGTTCGCCATGAAATTCCACTGATCCTTCTTGTGCAGACAGGTCTCCCTGAGTCTCCAACATGTCATTGCCAAACAAGTCCCTCATCACTGCCTTGCACTTCTCCACTGCCATAGGTCCCTTCTTTTGGGGATCCTTGCCTTTGGGAGTTGCACCTTGTGATTGGGTTGTCAGTCCACTGCCAAGGATGTCGCACCAGAGCTGTGGCAAAGGGTAATTGCGTGGTGGGTCATGATCGACTTGGCCAATCCATAGTGGACAACAGGCGAGCCAGGTAGTGATATAACCCTGAAGGTGCTCCAGCAGCTTGGGACTGAGGAGAAGAGCAGTTTTAGGAAATTTGTATCCCCGATCGATGGTGTAGGGCATGTGCATGCAAGATGGATCCTTATTGCAAGTCTTGAGGGCATCATCCCAATGCAAAAGAGAGGGCGGAAGATACGGGCTCTCAGGGTCTTTCCACTTGTCCCTGGATTCCCCTGACTGGGAGGGCTGGGTGGGCCAAGCCTCTTTTGCGTCTGATACAGTAGTAAGTAACACAAAGCAATTATTAGGGATGAACTTACAAGGTTGTCGCCTATGCTTTTCGAGACTTTGTTGAGGTGCTCTTCCAGCAGTGGATGTTTGAGAGGATGGCGCAAGAGCAGAAGAACTGGGAGTAGAGAAACTACTGGATGAAGCAGACAAGGGAACCATGACGTCAGGATTTCTGAAAGTTGTGCTACCGTACAGGTGATGAATGTGAAGTTGGCACTGGTGGCCACCTTGGCCATGATAAATGATGTCGTAAGGGCAGATTTTGTTGCCCTCCACATACATCAAGATGACGATGTCATCCATATGTGTAATTAATACGGGTTTATGAACCTTCATACTGTCAGGTATATATGACATCATGCAGACATACCAGACAGGCACACCAGCCATGTGGAGCTTATTGCACATGTTGCTTTCATGCGTGAAAGTGCCCATCCATTCGGACTTGACAATGACAGTCCCAATGCCAGAGGAGATGCGAGGTTGGGCAATGAGAACCCAATCCATAAAGGAGTAAATTTTGAGGAAGAGGCATTGGGCATCCATGATGAAGAGGAGGAAATTGCAAAAGGTCAGAGGATGTTTTTTGAGCCACGAGATACTGTGTCGAAGAGAGATGACACAATTTACAATGACATCCTTTTTGCCTTGTTGATTGGCCCTCCAGTCCTGTACATGTTTGTCTACTAGTTTGAGGAGTGACTCCAGGCCTTCGACCTTGTCAGAGGCAAGTGTGCCTACAGGAAATGAATTGCCTGGGATGGTCTTGAAGTCCTTTTGCTCGGGAGTGTACTACACCCAGTGAAGCGGGTGTAGGAATGGGTAAGCCTCCTTACGAGGAATGCAGACAGAATTGCGAAAGATGTTGTCATATGCTTGAGGCCATTGAAAGCAGTCAACAACACCAAAACAACCATTGGTGCGGGCCTGTATGTTTTCTTCTTCGAAATGGTGGAACTTGGGAACAAATTGCATGTTGGGCATAGTGATGACTAGATTGTCCTGGACAGCGACAGCAAAAGCATCGTAAGATTGTAACCAAGCTGCAGGATACATCTACATAAGTAAGTAAGAATGCTAAAAGACAAATATTACATACATGCACGAAGTGTCAGGTCACCCTTGAACATTGTCAGAGCATTGGGCATGATAGAAAACTATGAAGGTTAGAAGATGTGCTGACAGGTACAAGGCAAACACACCTCAGAGTTTGGTATGGTATGGCGAGAGCCTAAGTGCTAGTCAGTATACAATTAGTGAGATAATGAAAAGGACACTTACCAAAAAGGAAGACATAGCTAAAGTGACAAGCACTATAATGTAAGATATGCATCAGGAGATATTGCAGATCAAAGATATTGAAAACTCACTGATAAGACCAACGAGTGAAATGTGAATGATTGGCACACCTGAAATATCAGAGGAAGTCTGCAGCAGCGTGTAGCACACCAGAAATAAGCCGAGTGTGAAGGCAAAGCACACCCAAGAGGGTCTTCAACCCCACTGGCGCAGCAAAGTATGAGCAACCGGGGCAACCCTCCAGATGCGAAGTCTAGGAGTGGGAGATCAGCGATGCGAAGTCAACTGATCAAAAGAGTGAACAGCACGAAGCCAATTCAAAACGTCAGGAACAGTAGTTGTTAGATCAATCACAGGGATGGGCGAGCCCCTTCAGTGACAAATTCTGTATTATACGGGTCACCTGACCTACATAATATCCCATATAAGATGGGCCAGTGGACTATGGGCCGATGTTATGTATATTCCCGATGTTGACAGATGGGCCGGGAGGGATATTATTTCCGATGGAGATGGGTGGGCCCATCTATGCTGATATTATATATATCCTCGAAGATGTCGGGTGGGCCGATGTAATGGTTTATTGTATAGATGGGTGGGCCGAGGTACAGGAAGTATTTTGTACATGGGTGGGCCGAGGGAGTGGTGGAATATGTATTATATAGATGGGTGGGCCGATGTAAGGGTTTATTGTATAGACGGGTGGGCTGACATACTGGAATTATTTTGTAGACGGATGGGCCGACGGAGTGGTGAAATATTCATTATATAGACGGGTGGGCCGATGAAGGGGGATGTTATATAGACGGGTGGGCTGATGGAGGGGGATGTTATATAGATGGGTGGGCCGAGGTAGTGAGATATCTGTCTGACATTCATGGATTACCGAGTCCCAGATGCCCAAAAACTGAATCCCATTGTGCAACATCCATTCCAGACACCCGAACACACCATCAAGTGCCGAGTGCTGAGGCCTGCGCCCCAATGTCCGAAGCCCGAAGCCCGAAGCCCGAAACCTGCAGCCTGAAACCCAAAACTCGATACCTGGTACACAAATCACCAAGTGCCGAGTGCCAAGTGCCAAGTGCCAAGGCCCAATGTCCGAAGCCCAAAACCCAAAGCCTGAAACCCGAAAATATGTGTACAACATATCCATATTTCACTCATTGCACAAATCACTGAGTGTCAAGTACTGAAACCCGAAACTCGACACCCAGTACACAAATCACCAAGTGCTGAGTGCCGAGTGCCAAGGCCCGAACCCCGATGTCCGAAGCACGAAACCCGAAGCCCGAAATCCGAAAATATGTATATAACATATCAATATTTTACTCACTGCACCAATCACCAAGTGTCAAGTACTGAAACCCGAAACTCGACACCCGGTACACAAATCACCAAGTGCCAAGTGCCAAGTGACAAGGCCCGAACCCCAATGTCTGAAACCCGAAAATATGTATACAACATATCAATATTTCACTCATTGCACAAATCACCGAGTGTCAAGTGCCAAAACCTGAAACTCAAAGCACGGTGTAGAAAGCTGATCTCCGCTGGGCTCAGCAGAAATTGTACTACCTAGACAACAGATATTTAGGTAGATCTTAGCATGACCTATGCTGCTATACTTGCAGAGCAAGTGCGTTTAATCCTAAAGGGATTGCTAATTGGTATTAGTAGTAAAAATGTGTCAGTAATGCAAATAACAAAATGTCCGATGGTGCGAAACGATGTCCAAAGGTACTACGAGAATATTCTGGGTGATCTGCAGAGTCGGGAAACGGCTCCTAACTACTGGATGATGATTGCTACGGGTCACTACAGAGTATTTAAGTAAGTACATAGAAATTCGGAAAACTACAGGCAAAGATAGTAGCGATATATTTCGGGTCCGATGTCCTATGTAATAAGACACGAGGTGCTGCAGACATGTAATAACGCGGTACAAATGTCAGAAAATGTGCACGAAAATAACTACGCACCTAGTGAGGCTAGTTCGGATGGACAGGACACGGGATGGACAAGTGCGCACGAAGTGCGATCAGCCGATGCGATGTCTGAAGGTCCAATGCGCCGGATCCGATATGGAGTGGCTCGGACATGTGCGAAAGTGCATCAGACATGTGCGCATATGTTTCAGGTGTTGGCACTAGTATGGAAATACATGGTTTTGAGCCCAACACCGCGACCATCGCTACAACAGTACAAAAATCACCAAGTGCCGAGTGCCGAGTGCCGAGGCCCGAAGCCTGATGTCAGAAGCCCGAAACCCGAAGCCTGAAACCCAAAAAGTATACAACATATCCATATTTCACTCATTGCACAAATCACCGAGTGTCGAGTGCCAAAACCTGAAACTTGAGATATGGTACACAACTCACCAAGTGCTGAGTGCCGAATGCCGATGCCTGAAACCCAACATCCAAAGCCCGAAACCCAAAGCCTGAAACCTGAAAATATGCATACAACATATCCATATTTCCCTCATTGCACAAATCATGGAGTGTCAAGTACTGAAACCCAAAACTCAACACCCGGTACACAAATCACCAAGTGCTGAGTGCTGAGGCCTGAGCTCCGATGTCCAAGGCCCAAAACCTGATGTCCGAAGCCCAAAACCCGAACCCTGAAACCTGATAATATGTATGCAACATATCCATTTTTCCCTGATTGCACAGCTCACTGAGTGTCGAGTACCAAAACACGAAACTTGAGACCCGGTACACAAATCACCAAGTGCAGAGTGCCAAGTGCCAAGGCCCAAAACCCGACATCTGAAGCCCAAATTCCGAAGCCCGAAACCCGAAAACATGTATGCAATGTTTCCATTTTTTACTCATTGCACAAATCACCAAGTGTTGAGTACCAAAACCCGAAACTCAAAACCCGGTGTGCAATATGCAAAAATAATGAAAAAATGGAAGTTGTTGTCCGAGTCTAGGTGAGTGTATTGGTAGTCTTTTCTTGTCCATCGGTTATCATTTGACCAAGATATAAGCTAAAGAAATCTGAAACATTGGCGAGAATGAAAAATGAAAGTTGTAGTCCAAGTCAAGGTGAGTGTATTGGTAGTCTTTTCTTGTCAATTGGTTATTTCATTACTCGGTACTCAGTACTTGGTTCTGATACTCGATACCTGGTGTAATGATAGTCGCCGCACTGGGCTCAAAACCCGTGTTTTTGATACTCACATTAAACAGTATTTATCCGACGCATCCCTGACATTCTGATCCTGATCCCGACCCCTGACCCCAGCCTGAAAGTTTCGGACCCAACATTTTTGCATCGGACTCATCCTTCCTATGTCCTGTCTAGTCGTATCTATCCCCACTGGTGCATATTTACTTGTTTTCGCATTATTGAATATTACAGACAGTGTTATTACATGTAAGCATAGACCATTGCACTTTTGACATTTTTCACGATTTTCAGTATCTTGCCCTTGCATCCATGATCCAACCTTTTAATATATAATGAGCATAGCTTATATTATTGCCTCTTATGACCAAGATCAGCTCACAATAGGCTGGAGTTTGTGAGCTAGTGTGCATACTTGCCATTTCTCCTGATAAGGGGCCCATACCTTCAAAACATTGAATCTTCATGATCAGAAACCTGGAGTACATTTAAAATATATTAAGTATCATAGACATAAATTTACAGACAAATCTGCCAAGAATTGAGTACTGAGGAAGTGAAATAGATAAGAAATGGAGTGTGGGAAACTTCAAAGACTCAAAGCATCGAAAATGGTCAGTGAAGCAATAATAGGACTTTAATGCTGAGTCAACTCATGTTTTCACTATATCCCTTCCACCCACCCCCTACCCTCAAGGCAGTAGGCAGTATGGGTTCCTTAGGTAGTTTACAATCTATCCTACATATTTTTAATGAAATCTTTGGCCTGAATCATCTATAAATGCAACTTTGTAAAAATATGTCTATTGTCACATTTCACACATATGCCTGTCATTACATCAATCCTTCATGTATCTTTCTAAACTATTAGGGCTATTATAATGGTCATATATGGGTGTTATTCCAGGTCTCTGATCCCATCACAGGCTTGTCATGTTGGATATCTCAACATAATGTGCAAGTCTCACTATTAATATTCATTCTTTTATCTGTATGCTCACTTACTGCACACATGTACAAATGCACACCTCATCTTTACATCATTGCTAACATGCCAGACAAATATATAATCCTCATACCTGCATCATCCTACCTCAGTCTATTTGTTCTCAGACTGAGGTATGACTATACATTCATTATCATACTCGACCCTGACTAACATTTAATGTAGTCTTCAAATAATCTCCAATTGACAAGAATGACATGAGTATGAAAATCAGTGGTTCTGAGCCCAGCACCGCAACCATCACTACACTGAGTACCAATACTTGGTAGGACCACCAATACACTCACATAGACTCGGACTACAACCTTCATTAAGAAAGTTAAGCATAATAATAATTTTCATTTTTTCATTATCATTTTCCTATATTGACTAGCGAGTCCCGAGTCCCGACACTCGGTAGTCAATACAATTCCCAAGTTATTTGAACCCTACATCAATGGATAATACATACAAATACAGAATTCATGTCCAGTTGTAGTCACGTGTACCGGGTGTTGAGTTTCTGGTTTTGGTACTCGACACTCGGTGATTTGTGCAGTGAGGGAAATATGGATATGTTGTATACATATCTTTGGGTTTCAGGCTTCGGGTGTTAGGCTTTGGATGTCGGGCCTCAGCACTCAGCACTCAGCACTTGGTGATTTGTGTACCGGGTCTCAAGTTTCGGGTTTTGGCACTCGACACTCAGTGATTTGTGCAATGAGTAAAATATTGATATGTTATATACATATTTTCAGTTTCAGGATTTAGGTTTTGGGTTTTGGACATCGGGTTTTGGGCCTTGGCACTTGGCACTCAACACTTGGTGATTTGTGTAGGGGGGTTGAGTTTTGGGTTTTGGCACTCGACACTCAGTGATTTGTGCGATGAGTGAAATATTGATATGTTATATACATATTTTCGGGTTCCAGGCTTTGGGTTTCAGGCTTTGGACATCGGGGCTCGGGCCTCGGCACACGGCACTTGTTGATTTGTGTACTGGGTGTCGAGTTTCGGGTTGTGGTACTTGACACTTGGTGATTGGTACAGTGAGCAGTGATTGGTGCAGTGAGGAAAATATGGATATGTTGGATACATATTTTCTGGTTTCAGGCTTTGGGTTTCGGGCTTTGGACATCGAGGCTCAGGCCTTGGCACTCAGCACTTGGTAATTTGTGTACCAGGTGTCAAGTTTCAGGTTTCGGTACTCGACACCCGGTGATTGGTGCGGTGAGGGAAATATGGATATGTTGTATACATATTTTCGGACTTCGGGCCATGATCGGCACTTGGTGATTTGTGTACCAGGTGTTGAGTTTCGGGTGTTGGTACTCGACACTCGGTGATCTATCAGCACTCGGCACTCATTGATTTGATAAATGGACTTTCAAGCTTCAGGCTTTGGGTGTTCAGGTGTTCATGTGTTTGGTGTAAGGAAATAGACATTTCACACATTTTCACAAGTTTCCAGTTTCCAGTCTCAAGCTTGGGGTGTTTGGGTGTCCGGAATGGATGTTGCACAATGGGATTCAGTTTTTGGGCATCTGGGACTTGGTAATCCGTGAATGTCAGACAGATATCTCACTACCTCGGCCCATCCAGTATGTCGGCCCACCCGTCTATATAATACATATTCCACCACTCCCTTGGCCCACCCGTGTACAAAATGATTCCTGTATGTAAGCCCACCCATCTATACAATAAACCATTACATCGGCCCACCCGACATCTTCAAGGATATATATAATATCAGCATAGATGGGCCCACCCGTCTCCATCAGAAATAATATCCCTCCCGGCCCATCCGTCAACATCGGGGATATACATAACATCGACCCATAGTCTGCTGGTCCGTCTTATACAGGATATTATGTAGGTCGGGTGACCCATATAATACGGAAATATGTCACTGTAATATGTGCTAAGGTATGTTTAAACTGAATGTGATCAGTGCTACAAGGTAACTAATTAGTTTTCCCACAGCATCATCCCATCCATGACAGCGATGGTGAGGGTGAGAATGACAACGACAACGCTGACACCTTGTCCGAAGTACGACATAAACACATCAAGTTCACAAAAAATCACCTTCCTGCTGGGTCAAATTGTGAGTTTGATTCTTATGTTGTCTCCATGTGGATTGATTTTATCTCCTGCTTTGATAATATGTAAGATATCAGACTTTGCTGAAGAGATGCAGGAAATCTGGAATCATGTCTTTCCAACCCTCGAGCACACTGTATCCCAGAACAAAGACGCTGTGTATAAAGTGATAAGTCTATTGTGACTGACTTTCTACCACCTAATTATGCATTTTACCCAGTTGATGCAGTGTGCATATGACTATTGCAGCAACTTCGGTGAACGAGCAGAGATTGTTGTCACGAAATATATCCAAATGCAAGATTGGTTGCCTGATGACATTGCTAACACAGTTGCATATCTAGGGCCTGAACAAGTTCAATATGTTGATGAGGCCGGTCGTACCACATGGGTGAACCCTCCCATCTATCCTTATATGTGGAAGTTAGTTGTCAGTGATAGAACTGACATGAATGTACGTGTTCCAATCTTATCCTGCCTTGATTGCTTGAGATGCAGGAGGTCGCCACTGCCATTGACCCAGTACTCAGCCTTGTCGCCCATTAGTATTGATAATGGATGAGGATTGTTTTCAACAGGAATGTTCTTCTCCCCAACAGCCTCTTTGGTTAGGGCACCTGCAGATTTTACACTGGCAAGTAACAATATATATAGTGGTGAGGTCATCAGTTTAGTGCCTTCATTGACTGGGCTACCTTTGCATGATGATGCCCAACTCAGTGGGGAAGACTGACATGTGGTTTGTGGTGAAGGAGACTAGGAAGATTATGTGTCTGCCATGACAAGGATATTCTGCGCAAGCATAATCAGTTCCAACCAAATACACTTTTTAAATGTTCAATTATATGTTACCTTCAGAGTTAACTGGGCCTTTTGTCATTTGCTGTTCCTGGATATGATTGAGGATTCAATGCAAAAAGTGACAGCAGTATGCACCTGTGAAGCCTGAAGTGATGCCAATTTGCATTGCCAATGTCTTATTAGCAGGCCTACCAGTTATAATATTGCATGAAACATCATCAAGCACAGATGTCTTTTTCGACTGTGTGATATAGACAATGGTGCATTGCAAGACAAATTTTAACAATGGCCTGAAACCAACGCACTAACCATCCTGTGCCTCTTTGTTTTCTCAGATACCTGATAGATAAGTCAATCTTTACGCATTCCAGCACTTACAAAATACACATGACCGACTACAGCATATCAGCATCCAAGGCATGTGTTAAAGACAACCCCAGGCCAGTACGATCATCGGTCTTTGTATAATTAAAGGTTTTTGCATGCCTCCCCCATGTAGCATATGAATGTGGATTGATCCCCTGTTGTCCCACGCAATCATTACCCATGATTAATGATTGGCCAATCAGATCCTTGTTTATGGAGCGTGATCAGTTTAACATATCTGAAACAGGGGCAGTCTCAACAGATTCACATCAGATTAAAGACACTAAACAAAATGGGGTGAACAATGAGGCATGGTGGCCTCCATGATTTCAAATACACTTATAGCATGCTGTCCTGCACCTATGCTTAGTTGGGGCCAAATATGGTGGAATCTGACTCACTCTTCATGTGGCCATATCAAACTCCATCACCATTGAACCATTGTATGATGTTGATAGTGAGCCTTCTTCTGAGAGCTCCATATGAGCAGCTAGCAGGGATGAGTGACTTTTGGAATGATGATGAATATACACACAGACAATAGGCTCCCTTTTGTCACTGATTTTCAATGTACAGAAACCCTCATTGAAAAGATATGATAGATGCAACAAATTTTCGACCAATTGCCCAAAGTCATGCAGGTTGATGATCAAGCGAAATATGTTGATGGTATCAGCTTCATGCATAATTTGTCACATGATATGTTATCCACACAGTTAATACATTTGAAGGACACTTCAACTGCACTGACCTTTGTAGCTTAATCAGCTTTTGCTAAGTCACATTCAGCATGCACATTATAGGCATTTAAGCCAGCCGCATCTGGTCTCATTGGACTAAACCTCGATGACACACACCTGCAACTTCATCAGAGAGGATGCCTGAAAGATGAGAGTTACATGCATCATGCTCGGAACTGAGACTCTTCAACTTTTAGCTAAGGCTTTGCGCCCCACATACTCCCAGCCCATGATGATTGGCCAGAGCACTGCTGCCTGCCCTTTGGTTGACAGGTGTGGCCAACTTTGTGAGGAAGCCATTGACAGTGAATGGTTTCATGCTCTTCAGCCATGTATCCAATTTAGAGATGTTCATGGAGGTGTTGTGAACCACGGCTTTGTTAAGAACTGAGAGCACAACTACAATACGACCCCTCCTGACTTATGACATGATCAGTCAAAAGAAAGTTCAGGGAATTGACAACCAGCCTGTGCCAGATGACATTTAAAGTAAGCATTCATCTAAATATATACTTTCCTTAATCATTAGAGTTGCATATAGGGGTTGTGATACATACTAGATGCTGGTAATACACGACCATGAAGCACACTCACCTGCTGTGACCGCAAGCTGTAAACATATATATGTTCTCCTTGACGAACTGACTCAGTGGGTGATGAGTGACAGGTGTGAGTTCTATCAAACTTCTGACCATCATAGGTCCACTGTGTGCAAGACGGAGGTAGGCAATAACAACACTGCAGATAGCTCCAAGTGTGGGATTGTATTAGGAATGTTCTCAAACACCAGGATTGCAAGGACAGCAATTGCTGAGATGCCCACGTGCCCATATTAAGGAAAAGTCAGATGAAGTTGGGTCAAAGCATTGCAGAAAGCATCATAATACCAATTGAAAGCCTAATGGACATCAACGTGATTGCGTAGGGCCATCAACAACTTGTAAGCATTCACAAGCACTGCGCATAACACATACTACTCATAGAGCTCTGTTACGGCTTGACATCTCAAGTTCAGCCACACTCTATACTAGTGCAGGTGTGCTGTTTTATCCAGATCCATCCCTCCTGAGAACTGTAAATCATTTATTGCATGCGACCAGTGTCAGAACCATGTTAAACCTCAACTGTAGTGTACAGAGTCTCCCTCTCCTCATCTTATGCACAACAAAGATGTCCTTCATCTTCACAAATTTGATGTACAAATGGCACTGCATAAGAGTCAGCAAGTATCAGTTGCACAAAACCAAAACTGACCTTCTGATGAGTGAGTCGACAACATTTGCATCTTCCTCAGTCATATCAACAATATCATGCTTATTATCCTTCTTGTGTTTGATGACCAAAACATTGCCGGTGACATCATCACGTATGTCAGTCACATAAGCTATATCACAAATCAGAGCATTTGGTGGAGGATATGTCCATGGGTATTCATGAATGATGGTGTAGCTATGCACCCAAGGTGTGTCAGGAGCTCCAGGCAACATGTTGAAAGTCTTGCACAAGCAGCCAGTGTAGACAATAAACTTGTCTCGCTTGAGATGATCAAGCCAATGAGATGTTTCTAGTTGGGCTAAGTTTGTGAGATGTGTCACCCCATCATGTAGGGGCACGGAAACAAGACATGAAGCTGTTGCAAGTGTCACATATAATAGTGCCTGTCATCTGTCTGCATAGCACTGCATAAACCATATGTTAGTACATGATCACAAAACATTTGTTGAGTAAAACAGACAGGTGTATGGTTATCTATGTGCACCTCCTGCACCTGAATAGTTGCAAGATCACATGAGATAGGTATGGGTAGGAGAACCACTACTTGTGTATTGTTGGTGGGATTATATGGACAGGAGCCATTGTGGCAATGCTCCACAATATGCCATATGATGTGGGAGGTCCTAATCATGGATCTTAAGGAAAAGCGAGCATCCCAGTCAACGACAAGTGCTTGTTCCCCAAAGTCCAAAATATTTCCATTCATTACACAATTGAGACTTATTCTGCATGCTGACAACAACAGAATAGTCTTGTGAACTTTCTCCTGGCTCCCTGTTACCTTTACCTTTGTTTGCTGACTTGATTTTGATTCCTAGACCCTTATGAATTGTCATCTCATCAATAAGTGCTGTGGCTGAACCGGTCGGTGCCAGGAAACGAATGATATGGCCATACTCATAGTATGCCATCACTGTATGCACTGCCTTCACTATGTGAGTCTTCCCTGTACCGTCTGGATCTGTCATTAACATCGTGAGTTGAAAGGCACCATCAGTATCATTGCTTTTTTTGACAAGTTTTTTGATGGAGTGCTCTGCAATGATCTGGTAAGCATGTCATTGTTTTTCATCAAGATGATTATCATTACTGATCATGGTTATAACTTCTTCAGGGGACAGTGCAACTCGTGAGTTCAGGGCACTTTCTGTATTGCAGCATGGACCAGCATCAACATTAAGAGTCATTGCATTGGCATAAGTGTCTATATCCTGGACTGGTAGATGCTCCACCTGCTCATCAGGATTCAATGCATTGTGACGAGTATTAGCAATGTCTGCCTCTTGCGCTTTTATCTCATTGTTCCAAGCTTTCAGATGCTTTGGGCCACATTCAATAGGTGTGTCATTTAATTCACTCAGTGTTTCATTGATTCCCATGGGGGTAACTGACTCAGCACTGGCTTCACTTCCTGTGGATTCATTGACCGACTCAGACTGTGGTATAGGGACTACAGAAGAAATTGGTGCAGACTTTCCCAACCAACCTGCTTGTTGGAGATGCAGCAGTAATTGGTCTGTGCGAAAGTCCTTTAGTGCACTTCTACCATTAGGGTCAGGAAGCATGAGGTCAAGCTCAGTCCATTTTGGTGATATAGTCTAAGATGTAGAACATTGCAGCTTTTGCAGCTTTGCCAGACAGAATGCACTTGAGATCATGGTTGTGACGACAAAATATGAGGATGTAGGGATTGAAATAATTGATGGTCCTATCATGGTACTGAAAAACTACAGAGTTGGTGTCAGGATCAAAATAAGATGTTTCGACAATGTCATGTGGGAAGAGAAATCAACAACTACCTTCATTGCCATATTTATGATAAATGGCACAACATGTGTGGTGTTGTAGGACCTCTCTGCACTGCTTGACTTGTGTAAGGAAAACTGAATCCCATTTCACAATTTTGTCAGACATGAGATTCTGTTGAGAGCCTAGGATTGGAGGGCACAGAGGTCTCTCCACATGAGGATCAAACTTAGGGTCAGTTTCTACCTCAATATCTGGTAGATGATGCGAGATGATATTGTCAAAGAAATCAAAGAACCTTTTCTGATAACTCTCGTCATGTAGCTTGGCATGTAGTTCAGAAGGATTGGCTGCTCCATTTAACTACAGGAGGAAGTAACTATGCAGAGCCCCACGCTTAGTATATTCAGATGATCCATAGAATGCACATAACTGACCAAAGATACCACCAGCAGCATTAGACTTCTCAGCTTTGAAATCCCATCCCAGAAGATGTTCAAAACAGCATCTCCAAGAAAACTCAAAAAAATCCGCAGCAAGGAAAGCTGCTAGTCATTGGATAAACACAACACATATTTGCTCTCGCATATACGCTCACACAACATTGTCCTCTGAAAGATGTCAGCCTCCTGACCTTGTCTTGTCATCATGGACCCAGCCTCATATGTCACTATTTTAATTTGGATCACACCACACTTTAAAAGTAGGGCTCATGTTCATTCTCGCTCAGTCGGTCAACATACCATCATTCTCTGGAAGATGTTGGCCTCCTGACCTTGTCTTGTCATCTTGGACCAAGTCTCGTATGTTGCTATTTTGATTCAGATCGCACCACACTTTAAATATAGTGCCCATATTCATTTTTTGCTCAGTCGGTCAACACATTGACGTTCTCTGGAAGATGTCAGCCTCCTGACCTTGTCTGGTCATCATGGACCAAGTCTTGTACATTGCTATTTTGATTCAGATCGCACCATGCTTTGGGCGTGGTGCCCATCTTCGTTTTTCGCTCGGTCGGTCGACACACCAACGTTCTCTGGGGGGTGTCGGTGAGTCATATCACACTTTAAAAGTGGTGCCCATGTTCATTTTTGCTCAGTCAGTTGACACATTGTAGTTCTCTGGAAGATGTTGGTCTCCTGACCTTGTCTGGTCATCATGGACCAAGCCTCATACGTGGCTATTTTAATTCAGATCGCACCACACTTTAAAAGTAGTGCTCATTTTCGTTTTTGCTCGGTTGGTTGACACATTGTTATTCTCTGGAAGATGTTGGCCTCCTGGTCTTGTCTGGTCATCATGGACCAAGCCTCGTATGTGGCTAGTTTAGTTTATCTAGCCTGATCATTAGCTTTTACTCTACCCTTCCTTCAAATGTGAGTTTGCAACGTCAGATTGTGTTCTGGATCAAACACTTGTATAGAATAATGAGGCTTTGTCCTTTCCTCTTTAAGGCCAAATATGACAATATGATGATCAATAGCAGAATTATGCAAAAGTTTGTGATTATGTCCTATATATTGTTATATATATCCTTGTATTTTTTCCACCAGTCCACTGATGGGATCATGCGCTAAGTGGAGTGCATGCTCACGGCCAGCAATCAACCTAGGGAATTGGCTGGAGAGGTCCACCAAAGTATCACCGTACATCACTTGAAAAATGGGACTGTGAGCTGCACTGGGATTGAAAGTGAAAAAAGGTGTGGTAATCCAAAGTGACTGAAGCAGCTCTGTATTTCATTCCAAACAAGAATCTTGGAGGCTTGAGACCCAGGAATTCTAGCAGCAATGGTATCAACATTTTTCAGTAAACTGAACACCGTCTTTTCTTCCACACTCAACTGAGACAACTTATGGTCCTGTTCCAAACGGCAAGCAAGACTGTCAAGGACACCAGGTGAGACCTGCGTAAGTTTCCTTGCTATGGATTCAAACATCAGTAAACCACTCATTTTCCCACAGACATAGGCATACTGGACAGTTTCCCACAGTGCCTCACAGTGCAGACAGAGGCTCACAGACCTACAAATATGTACAGAGGCCTATTCACACAGCTGTCTCGCTTTTCCCAAAGAGCTAACAGACATCACATGCTTTCGAGTACTAGTAGTACTAGAGTAGCGCAGAGACAAAACACTGAAAACTTTACTAAGTCTCATGTGATACCACAAAATTTCAATGCAAGGAGAAAATATTTATAATGAATCCAACTAGTACTAAGACAAAAATTGAACAACTCCAAGTCCGAGTCTCATGCTACATCAATCGAGTTGAATAGTAATGTTACGGCTGGACCCAAAATGGGCGGAAGAGCCTGTAGTTCATATCATATCACCTTGGTACCTAAAGACACTGTTGGAGGACTTACCGGCGTCATGTGCAGGTGGATGATGAGAAAGACCAAATTCTTTGAAGGTAATCCGCATAAATCCTAGTCCGATGTCCGCCTTGTTAAGTTTCTGCGCATAAATGTTCGACTTGAACTTCAACAGACTGGCCATTAGTTCACATTCGCGGACCATGCAATCTGTGAGCGACTTGTCAGCTGTGAAGATGTCTCGTCAGGCCCTTGCAAGTTCCATAACTAGGTTGGCTTCAAGTTCATCAGTGTCATCAATTGCCTGCATAAATTTGATGTATGATGTTAATATTGATATCATTTTGAAACGGAGGCACTTACTATTGATCCAATACCTTCAGCAATCTCATAAAAATCTGGGAGACCGCAACCACCTGAATTTGAAGTGTGTGGATATGAATTATGAGGCAGATAGCGAGGGAATGTTTTAGTTGAGGTAGAGGGGATATTATTGGTAAGATTAAGACTAACAGTTGGGACATTTGACATTTGTGACTTGTTTCTAGTATGTTGATTGAAGCCTCTATCACAGATTGACCTGTATAGCATTCGGCAAAATCCAACTTCTCAGACTGACTTCTCAGACAGTAGCTAAGTATATATGATTTCTCACACTTGTAAACATCTTGATACTAGTACCCCATATGTTTCAGTGTCCTTCATGTAGCAAAGGCGGATTCAAAGACGATGTTGCCATTGCTCAGCACATGAACCAACCTTGCTCAGGATATAGTACATGGCTTCAGAACTTCAGACTGACCACTCCATGAATGTTGATGACCCACACATACTGCACGATTCCACCGAGTCACATCAAGACTACTATCATAATGAACCTGAGGGTCTCGGAGGTGTCAATTCAGATGAAGGCGTTTTTACCAGTCACATCGACGAGGAAGGCACGCTGCCCACCACTGACTTCATTGATTGGTTTCCTGGTGCCTCTCAGACAAATGGCAAGGGTCATACATTTCTTGACTTATTTCACTCTGACGAGAATAGCATATATTGCATGCAGAATCTTTACTACCCGTTCAGTGGTCGGAAGGAGTGGGAAGTTGCGTAATGGCTATTGCATTCTGGGTTGAGCATGGGGAAGATTAATAGTTTTTTGTCACTCGAGATGGTCAGTGCTCAATCATTTTCATTAGCGACGTCTGACAGAGTACCCGTTAAGATTAGAGATCTTTCATTATCATTCTCCACTGCTAAAGAGCTGTGAGGTAGGGCTGAACTGTTGCCCAGCGGTCTGCACTGGATGTCTCAAGTAATTCCTATGACCCATCCCACAAAATCACCCGTCATATTATACTGGTGCGACCCCTTGGACTGTCTCTCAAGCCTACTAAACCATCCTATGTTTCGCAAAGAGTCAGACTTTACACCTCGCAGGGTGTATACCACTGTGCAGCAGCCGTATCGTGTGTACTCTGAGTGGATGACAGGCAATGATGCTTGGAAGATGCAGGTGCATAGTCTCATTGTTCAAGCTGTGCTAAGTACTTATTGCTTCTAACAGTCCAATCTACCAAGTGGTGTGACCCTGCTAGGCACTATTTTGTCATCGGATAAGACCAATATATCCATGATGACAGGCAACAGAGTTGCCCACCCACTCCTCATCAGTCTTGCAAACATACGCATGTCTACTTGACTCAAGACATCATCCAGCACTTTCTTGCTTACTGCCCTACTCCCTGTACCCAAATTCATTCATAAGAAGAAACACTTGCGAGGTGTGTTGGAGGATTGTCTGATTCATCAATGCTTGGATATTGTTCTGGAGCCTCTTAAGCAGGCTGCTTGCGAGGGGATCATGCTATCAGATCCAGTTGGGCATAGCCGTTATTGTTTCACCCCACTTGCAAGCTACATCGTCGATACCCCAGAGGCAATGATGCTTGCCACTGTTGGCGGGAAAACATCTTCAGTTACCATGGCCTCATACAAGCAATTTGGAGATCCTCTCCTCCACAAACCTCGAACTCAATCAACTACCCTTGCACAACTGGCTGTCATCTGCAAAAAAGTCAACCCCAGCAATATTAAATCCTTCTTTTGTGAAGCGCAGAAGTTCCGCTTGAATGGAGTCGATAAGCCTTTCTGGTTGGACTGGGTCATGGCTGAACCATCGCATTTCCTCACTTCAGAAGTTCTTCACCATATTCACCAACAATTTTATGACCATGATGCCAAATAGATCATCCATGCAGTTGGGGAAGTGGAGATTTATTTCCGTTTCTCTGTGTTGCAGCCCATGATGGGCTTTTACCATTTCTGCGACGGGATCTCAAATCTGAAGCAGGTTACCGGGCGTGCCCAATGTGACATCCAACGCTCAATCATTGCGGTCAGCTGCAGATGCAGTACCTAGCACCGTGATCAAAGCTGTATGAGTGTTAATGGATCTCCGTTATCTTGTACAGTTGACACAAATTGACAATCAGGACCTCGAGCACATTTTGGCAGCGCTGGGTGAATTTCATGCCAACAAGCAGGCAATCTTAGATGCTGGGTTCCATCAAGGCAAGGGTGGCAAAGTCATCGATAATTGGTACATCCCAAAATTAGAGCTCATACAGAGCATTGTTCCCAGTATGTGCAATACTGGTGTTACCATGCAGTGGACTGCAGACACTATGGAGTACGTGCATGTCATGGAAATCAAAGACCCTGCACAAGCCAGTAACAACAACCACTATGATGCGCAGATTTGTTGCCATCTTGACCATGCTGACAAGTGCCGTCACTTTGAGCTTGCCGTGAGTCTACTAGACTTGTCAAACCAAGACACATACCCAGATGAAGATGATGATGAAAGTGATGTTGACATCAATGACAATCGTGATATCCTAGCAACAGGCAATCACCATCATTCACGGCCAATTACTGACTATTTTGCAATCGCACAGACTCTTCTGCACAAGGATGTTGGGACAATCCCTGCGCCATTATGCACTTTTGTTATTGCACAGCATGTAGTAGCTCATCTTGCCTATGACCCATCCATCAGAGCCATCTCTGTCGATGATGCTGCTCTCAAATTTAACATTCCCGACTTACAGCCAGCTCTTGCTGACTTTCTTTGTCGCGAAGATACCCACAGAAATGATCACATTCATGCAATTGGTGGAGCTAGGAGAGCTGAGCCCAATGCTTTGCTTCCTTTCAATACACTGCAAGTTTGGTTCAAACTTCGGCTCCAGGACACGGACATTCACAACACCAGCATTGTGCAGCCTGCACAGACCCTGAACTGTGCACCGCCTTGCGACCTCTGGACCTCTGGCCAGTATGACACAGCCATTGTCAATCATGAGGAGGGGTGCTCATGGCCTGCTGATGGTCTTCGTGGTAAGTTAGTATTCTGTCATGCTGAACATTATCTCATTGAATATTTAGGTCATTGTATTGCTCAAATCAGGCTTATTATTTGTCCAATTGCAAAGAGAGGCACAGAATGGTCGTGGAAGGATCGCTTCCTCACTTATGTGCAACAATTTGACATTGGTGATCGCGAACCAGCTATGAAGTTACATTTGCTCAAGAGGGCAAAGCGGTCAAATGGGACTCGGATTGGTGATATCATTCCAGTCACTCAGCTCAGGGTGCCTGTCAATATTGTCCCTCGCTTTGGCTCAAATGCAGACAATCATCTCACTCTGTATAACAGCATCAAATACTCATCAGAATTCTGGCTTAACAGGTACTGGGACAAAAATATGTTCTTCCCTCTTGTGATGTACTAGCACAGCAGGCCAAAAACTTCTGTTCTACACCTTTTATGCACTATCTTTTCCACTTTTGCATCAGTCTATGTAGGATATCTTTAGTTACCATGTGGCAACGATAAGCACCGCTGTGAATCCATCTCATTGCCCTTTCTTTTCTGAAGCGCGGAGTGCCTAGTACCTGTCAATTATGTCTCACTTTTATAGAACAGTTGGTGATGGAATCAAATTAGCATCACTAATCTCGCTCCCCGAAGTCAATGATGTCCCCACCATGAATAAACTGACATCAGTTGAACTTGATCAATCAGTTACAACCAAACCTCAACCTGCGGAGGACTCACTAGGCCACCTACTCTCTCTGATTTTCAAGCCTTTCGCAATCCCTATTCCATCAGTAGCAAAACTTACAATCAAACTCGGCAAAATTCTCTATCGCAACAAACAAATCAACAACACATTTTGCCTTAACAGCCCAGATGATATTGTGCCATTGTACAATACCAATGTGGGGCTTTGGAACTGGGGACTTCTGTTATCATATCCTAATGGTGGTGGTGTAGCAGAAGACTGCATCTCATTGCCAGGTGTCAAAAATTGCACCCACAAAGAAATATTCGCCTCATTTTGCAATGCTGTCACTATCTCCATGGCTGAATCAGAGCCAAAACTGCTCACACCATCTGCAACTTGAATATGGAGTGCAGCGCATTCAACAACTCCTGTTCAAGACACCGACATTAGGCACAAACCGGATATTGTCTTGTCTGACAATATCAAACTGAAGTGGGGCAATATCAGGGTATGTGCTGAGTTGATGGCCAGCCAGTACAAGCCTGCGCAGCAGCTTGTGAGAGCCACAGATACTTAAGCATATCTTTTGCTGAGCAACCAACCCTGGAGATGCTTCGCACTCATTTTATCCTTCACCAACGGCTACAGCGATCTTCGCATTCTATTGTATGACCATTCTGGTGGCATTGTATCTTCCTACTGCACCATCAACCACCAGCCGAACTTATTTTCACAAATTATTGCCACTGTTGTCTTTGGTAGTCCAGAATGTATCGGGTACAATGCCACAGTTAGTTTCTGGAAAAATGTCCCACTTCCTCCGCCCCCAGATGCACATATGCCTGGCTGCCATCTATTTAGAAACCATCATCAGGCTGCTCAAGCCAATACCATTGACACAGCAACCACAATGCCTCCTGATGCATTTCCTGAAGATCCCCAGGAAGGATCCTCTAGTGGCACCCTCAAGCTCAAGCCAATGCCTCTTCATGAATCTCCTCACAACTCAAGAGAAGAAAATCCCACATCTCCCCCTTCATTCCCCCCCCCCCCCCCTGCCCCCTTCATTTTCCCCTGCCCACCTTCCACTTCCACCCCTTGAAGCCACTAGTGCTCCCCTGTTGAATACCCTAAGTTCACTGCAAAGGAATATGGCCCTATATACCGCAAGATGCTCCAGCTACTGAGTGACATCATGAAGGATCGTTACCATGGCCCCGTCATGTTAGTGCAGCTCCGGGAATGGGCCTAAGCAGGGTGGTAAGTCATTTATTTTGTTTTAAAATTATGATATTAATTTTATTTATACAGGGCTGAACTTTCGAAGGTTGACAGAGATGTAGAGGCAAGTCATGACCACCTGCAGATTTTTCTCAATTGAGTCCACATATTTCCGCTCTGCTTTTATCCTAGTATTTGTGTATATTCATTATCACAGTTGATTATCTCGATCTTTTATCAGCATGTTATTAATATGATCTAATCTGCATGGTATTGTTATGGACTCGGATGGAGTCTTCTGTAACTGCCTCAATAAAGAGGATCAAGAGTACAGTGTCAAGACAACCAAGGGTAGAACCTTGGCGAGATCAGATTCAAGAGGCACCCGCGGGCCTGTTCAGAGAATCAAGTGAATCAAGAACCGAGTAGATTCAAGTTAAGGAATACAAGTCAAGTAACTAGGGTTTATATACGTAAAGGAAGGGTGCACAGACCAAGGGAAGAGCGTCCTGGTAAGTACAAGAAAGGGAATAGGGCAAAGGGGAAAAGATAGGGGTCCTCATGGTGTCCTCATGTGCTACATGAGTTGCACTAGAAGCAAGACAGTGATCAAGAAGTAAGACATGTGTCTAAGGTGAGGCAAAGATAAGGGAAATGAATAGCCTGCTGTAACAGGTATCAGTGTGTGATTAATTTAGGCTACTAGTACTGTGCATGAGTGAGTATCTGTGAGTATCTGTGAGCATCTGTGCAGAGTGCAACAGAATCAGCGCTTCTGTGGGTCTCTGTCCAAAAGGGACCAATCTGTCGCACTTGGGCACTGTACAGAGCTGTACAGTGCAAAGTAGTTTACTGATGAATTGAGTTTTCTGAACAGTGAAAAAAGTATTCAGATGAGCAGCGCGCCACTGAATCATGTTCAAAGCTACAAACAGATAAGAATGATGGTAACGGAATGAGTGATCAGGTAAATTCAAATAATACTGCGCCTGCTGCTGAAAGGACAATGCGGTAGGTCTTGTCTTGTCCTCAAAACCCCCAATACCAGAAGGGAAAGGGTCAGATACATACCTGGGATGAGATCAGGATTATTGTATTCATTGATTGCCTGAGGACCATGATGAACAACAAGGTCAGGCTGTAGGCTAGAGCGCGAATACAAGTTCCTGAGGGCTGCAGGCAGTAAAAGTGTGCCCACTAATTTTATCGCTCTTAGGATCTGAGACACCCATTTTTTCCAGCATCACTACAGAGACATCATTAGCATGGTCAACCATCACCGACTGTGTATCACTGTCACCACAATTCAAAAGTGCTGCAGAATGGTCAGAAAACCCTGCTGTTTCCTGTTCAAAGACAGTGATTGGGTCAAGTTTGTGATCCTCTACCACACAGTCACACAGTCCTGGGAGGACATCACCCTCAGGATACAAAGATAAAATATCCAAGTCAAGTGTGACACTGGAATACAATCTGTTATGATGTTTGAGCCACAAGAAGAACTGCCAAATCATCTGCTTGCGAACATGGAACACAGAGCCTACTTTAGCAGGGTCAAATTTTCCAGGACCTACAAATATAATGCTCAGCAGACCATTGACATCTGTAGGAGTACGAGGAAGGACCGACACAGTGGAAACTACATTCATATCATGGGCACACATATTGCCATAAAACACTCTGGATTGAGATGGATCAAAAGACTGGAACAAGGGTGTGATGTATGCAGTTACACAATAGATGGCACAAATTTTCTCCTCTATTCAGGTCAAGCCATGAAAATGGTTAGGCAGCTCACCACAGTAGAGATTGTTCGCCAATGAAAAACACAGTATGCAGTCAGGCTTGGACAAGGCAACCTAACACACCGAACAGATACTGAGACAAGTCACGGAAGAGTGATCTACAAACACACCAGACTTGTCAAGCATCAGACCATCAACAAGTGGAGAGTCGAAAGAGAAGGCCGTGGACAACGGCTGAACCACACACTTCATGATTATGAAGGGGTCGTGGATACGAAGGTTTTCCAGATTCAGTGCTGCTGGCTCTCCAGATGAAACGACAACAAGCTCACAATCATACCCTATACTGTGCACAAATAGCACACACCAGAGGTGGCATCCAAACAGATTCATCATGATAGTTATGGAGACATGACAGAACAATCTCCTTTGGAACAAGTGTGGGCCACTGCTGCTGATGTTCCAAGGACAACTGAGCCTGGTCACAAATTTGTAACTGCTTATGCTCACGGCACTTCAACTTGCATTGATTGGAAAGAGACGAAACTTACAGGGACAATCTGTGAATGACCGAAATACCATATTCAAATTTGAGAATACTGAGAAGATAATGCGAGTCTGAAAAGTCAGATGGCCGCTTGAACAGGAAATAAGTGAGCCATACATCACTTACAAGACGGGAGCCCAAGGCCTGCAGACACGAAGTGCGTGCACAAATGTGGACAACCAAGCCATTGCACATCTTGGTTCTGGATCGACTATCCAGCGCGGGACAACCATTCAATGGCAGCCTGCAAATGGAATCTGACAAAGTGTCAACAGGAAGCTTGCGCAACTGTTGCACAAGCTCCTCGGTTGAAAGTAACATCCATGGAATCTGAGAAAGAGGAGGACATAGAACCACATAAGACACGGCCAAAGGACGCCACAATGCTTCGGCTACACAATGTTACGACTGGGATAGTTCTTCTGTCAATGGTCAAAGATAGACCAGTCTTGTTGACAGCTTGTTCTGAACTCCTAGTACAAGGAGGGTTCAGGTTCAAGGGTTCTGCTAGACGGGTGTGGCAGCTTCTATCTAGGTTCTGCGGCAAGTGGTTTTAGCACTTCTGCCTATCAAGGGTTCAGGCTAAGACAGTGAGTGACTGTCTTAGAATCAGATATCAGACTATAAGGGAGGAGACCTTATAGAACAGGATTCAAGGGGAAAACCCAGTAGATTGAGTTAAGGAATACTACTGTTGTACATGGGGTTCATATAGGTAACAAGGAGCGGCGCAGCCATATCAAGAAAGGTAACAAAGATAGGGAAATAGTACAACCTATCAAGATAGCAAAGATAGGTGAAAGAATCATGCTGCGCATGATGGTAGTCAAAATACAATCAAGAAGAAAAGAAGTGCGGACAGCCCGCTTGCAAAGAGAATCGCCGGGTCTAGATGAGTCTAGAGTCAGTGCTAGGGTTACAGAAAGGAAAAATAAGTAGGGCTAAATGTTATTGTAACACACAAGCACCAAAAATATTCTCAAAGTGTGCACAAAGGAGAGGTAACAGGGAGCACCCACATGGTGAGGGCAACTCAATGTGTGACAGATGATCAACAGCAGAATCAAACGGTAAAGTGGTGAATTTGGTGTAGGCAGTCTGAAAGGATCATAGGATCTGCTGCACATGTTTGGCCTTGGATGCATGCTTGACCTTGGACCCATTCAGCAAGCTACACTGGACAAGGACAGGAACGGAAAGGGAAGAGAGTATATGCAACAACGTATCATCAGGATAGAAAAGCCATGACGGAAACTGATCCAACTGAAATGTAACAGAGGAAGCCACACTGTGTCCAG